TTCTGTCAGGACTAGAGTTATTAACCAGTCACTTCTGTGGTAGTTCATTATGAGCTTCCATTTGTGCCAAAATCAAGTCGACTGCTCTGTACTACACACTTTAGTGCATGTCTACAGTCACTGTGAGTTTGTTGAGATCAGTATACTGTATGTTGATGTGTGTGTTCTGTTCATGGGCGCTTTCTCACCATCTTTCTAAAACTCTGAATATGATGACAAAGAATGAAACCCAGTGACTTCAGATTCATCCATGTTATAGAACAGAAAAAAACATTTTTTAGAAAACTCATTATTAATCTAAATATTCGGTTTGTTTTCTGTAAAATGCATCGCAGAGAGAACTTATAAAGCATAAAACTGATCTGAACACACAACAGCAGTAACACTAGTCAGATGAAATGCACAAACAGAACGGCATAATTAACGGTTGTGTGCTGTGAAGCCTGCGAATCACATCCAGCTCCAGATCATCAGGGTTTGCTGATGGCCCATCAACAGAAGAGCTCGTCTTTACGCTCGAGAAGCCGTCAGTCTTTGTTTAGTATTCAGAGTAATTCACTGCGAGGTGAAAACAGGAGCTAAACTGGGAAACTGAGTAATTAGGAAGCCAATTAAGCGTCCGTCTTATTGTACGATGCGTCATGGGTCAGTGATGAAAGCCGAATCCTGTGACTGAAGATTAGTGTCTTCCTCAGTTTTCCTCGCTGTCTGAGGAGCGTTTGTGAGCTGATTCTCGCTCTGCTGTCTCCTCAGGCTCTACGAGTCTCCCAGCTCTCATCTGCGGTCCGGCGCCGGTCTGGACGCTCTGCAGTGGACTCGACATGTTCTGGATCAGCTGGACACTGCACGACACTCGCTCGGCCAAAGACTGGAGTCCGGTACGTCAAACCAGACCAGAACCGTATCAAAACATCAGATATTCCATGTTCATTTGCTCTCTGAAGTGACTTTCATCGTCAGTCCTTCTTATTCATCAGCCACCTTCATAATGAGACAAACTTCCAACATACAGTACATAATAAGATTATGCTTGTGGGTCACGTGACTTTAAAGGATCGGTTCGTCTAAAAGAGCAGATATTTCATGATTCGCTCATCTCTCATGTCGCTCCAAACCCATAAGACTTCTGTTCCTCTTCAGAACACAAATTAAGATATTTATCATATGTGACCCTGGAGCACAAAACCAGTCATAAGAGTCAATTTTGTGAAATTGAGATTTATGCATCATCTGAAAGATGAATAAATAAGCTTCCAGTGATTTTACAGTAAAATACTGTTACATTTTTAGTAATTCATTTTTAAGTAATATACTGTTAAATACTGTTAAAGTTTTTGAAAGTGGAAAAAAACAAGTCGTCTTATAATTTACAGTAAACAAACGTAAAATGACATTGAAAATTGACGAAAACTAATTGAAAGGGGTCATATGATGTTGCTAAAAAGAACATTATTTGGTGTATTTGGTGTAATGAAATGTGTTTATGCGGTTTAAGGTTAAAAAAATTCATTAGGTTGGTATTTTAACATTATATCTGTTAATAAACTATACTGCACTTTTTTTTACTGTGAATTTCAGTTAAATCTATAAAACCTAAAATGTTGGTGCTGTATTTTCTACAGTGAAGTTCTGGCAGCTGCAGCTGCTGGTATTTGATCTTAGTTTTGACAGATTGTTTTTCAGAGCAAGAATGAAGGCTTCAGGATCAGGAGCGGTCAGTGACGAGGATATGAGGACTAATGTAAGGACGCGGCCGGATATAAACACAGGAGCTCAGAATAACCAGCGTCATCTTATTAAAGCTGCTTCATCTAGTCAGTGTGTGACTAGTGTTCAATCGGCTGGGGGCGGAGCCATCATGAATATGTAAATGAGAGAGTGTGACGGACAGCTCTGACTCTGGGACGCTTGTAATGCGTTCAGGATTTAGTCGTAAGCTCGTTACTCGGCTAAATAAACCCTGTGCCACAAAGACACCCGAGCTAGTCACAGCGTTAACCCCTTACTAACCAGTGCTGATGCTGCTATATTTGGCCTGTAGGAGTGGGTTAGACAAGCCGTAACCATAGCAACTGTGTTTACATGAAAGGAGCCGGCTGTTCATGCTAAGTGTAGTGTGTAGCGTGTGATTACTGAACAGCAGATTTAGCACTAGTGTGCATGAACATATTCAGCTGGCTTCACACACACACACACACTCTCTCTCTCCCTCACACACACACACACACACTCTCTCTCTCTCTCTCACACACACACACACACTCTCTCTCACACACACACACACACACACACACTCTCTCTCTCTCTCTCACACACACACACACACTCTCTCTCACACACACACACACACACACACACTCTCTCTCTCTCTCTCACACACACACACACACTCTCTCTCACACACACACACACACACACACACTCTCTCTCTCTCTCTCACACACACACACACACTCTCTCTCACACACACACACACACACACACACTCTCTCTCTCTCTCTCACACACACACACACACTCTCTCTCACACACACACACACACACACACACTCTCTCTCTCTCTCTCACACACACACACACACTCTCTCTCACACACACACACACACACACACACTCTCTCTCTCTCTCTCACACACACACACACACTCTCTCTCACACACACACACACACACACACACTCTCTCTCTCTCTCTCACACACACACACACACTCTCTCTCACACACACACACACACACACACACTCTCTCTCTCTCTCTCACACACACACACACACTCTCTCTCACACACACACACACACACACACACTCTCTCTCTCTCTCTCACACACACACACACACTCTCTCTCACACACACACACACACACACACACTCTCTCTCTCTCTCTCACACACACACACACACTCTCTCTCACACACACACACACACACACACACTCTCTCTCTCTCTCTCACACACACACACACACTCTCTCTCACACACACACACACACACACACACTCTCTCTCTCTCTCTCACACACACACACACACTCTCTCTCACACACACACACACACACACACACTCTCTCTCTCTCTCTCACACACACACACACACTCTCTCTCACACACACACACACACACACACACTCTCTC